CCCGGGATCGAGTCCCGCATCGGGCTCCCTGCTCGGCGGGGAGCCTGCTTCTCCCTCTGACCCTCCCCCCTCTCATGTACTCTCTCTCATTCTCGCTCTCTCAAATAAACAAATAAAATCTTAAAAAAAAAAAAAAAGATATGAAGTCAAATTGAGTATTTTCCAAATGGACATTACAACAAATGGGCCAAACTGCAGGTCCTGTGACCTTTTTTTCCCTAATAAAACCTTGCATGTTATAGGTTTAAAAAGACAGTGATACACCTTCACTCAAGCTTTTATCCAAGCTTTTAAAATGTTATTGTATTCCTTTAAAAAATTCTAAAACCGGGGACACCTGGGTGGCTCAGTCGGTGAAGTGTCTGCCTTCGGCTGAGGTCATGATCTCAGGGTCCTGGGATTGAGCCCCCATGTAGGACTCCCTGCTCAGTGGGGAGTCTGCTTCTCCCTCTGCCTGCCCCTCCCCCCTGCACATCTTCTCTCACTCACTCTCTCTCAAATAAATATTTTTTTTAAATTCTAAAATGGAACTCGAAAATTAAAGCTGATTAGGAAAAGGAGCTACTTGCATCTTATAATGACATTTTCAAGCTGATGATCTTGGATGATATAGAAATAAATACTTCTATGCTCAAAATTGCAAAGGATGACTGGTTGCAAAGGATAACTGTGGAGTTTTAGAATAAACTGTGATTGTTTTTTCGTACAAAAATTTCATGCTTACTTTATAAACAATATTGTTAGAGATGTAATAATCAATGTTCCACTGATTAAAATATACATTAATATTTCTTTAATAATACCAAAATAGTTATCCTTGGGTTTATCTGTAACCTTCTGAGGCCTGCAAAATGGCCCACATGCTAACTGATACACATTAGGAAAGGTTCACCTCTCCAAAGTGAAGACACACCACTGTGTCCCACTACCCACCCCCTCCGAACCTCCGTGATCTCTAGGTGTGAGTTGCTGCAGTGAAAAATTTGTGCAAACAGCTCTGGAGACATTGAGAGTGACAACCAGGAAACCCTCGGTTTTGTTCTTCATGGAGGAATATGTTTATTTTCTAAAGCAGAAACTCAATAAAATTTTTAACAATTTTAATGAAATGTCAAATACAGGAATGCCATGTCTCCAAATACTGCACTGAGTTGGACAACATTTATTTAAATAGCTAACCTCTCTCGAGAGTGTACAAATGGTTTCTCCAATCGTCAGTGCATTTGGTGGGATGGGAACGAAGCTAGTAACATCATACTGGCCTCGTCCAGTTCAAAGCCCGTATCTCTTGCCGTTGTCTGAGCAAGAAAGAAATGCCCACGGTACACAAAGATATTTATTCAGTAATGAACAATAGTAATTCCAAAACTCTGAACGAAGTGGTGATTCTAAGAGCAGTAAAAGATGAAGGGGTTGAAGAATTGCCCTTTATCAGCAAGAGATAAAACCAACAGATATGCAAAAGCTGCGTGGTATGTGAAATATCCCTTCAGTATCTGATTGGGCACTCTGCATTTATCTTTTCTCTTACCACGAATCTCGCAAGCCTTAAAACTCAGAGGACATCAAATGTTCTTATAGTGTGCCTATTAAAAATCAAAAAGAGCAAAGCTAGGAATATTACTAAACCCCAGAATAAACTATTTACATCAAGAGCTCAGCATTGTGTATATTTCCAAGTCGTGTTTAGTCTGGGGTGGACTAACTCCTCCAAATTCCTAATTAAGAGGAAACACCTTCGTTTGGCACGAATTCCCCTTCTTTTCCCTAACAGTACCACTGGCTCACAGGGGCACACACTCCCACGGGGGCTCTCCCAGGGCTGGTGAGTGCATGCTGGCCAGAAGCGCTAGCCCCAGTTACTAGTCATTCGTGATTCCTCTCCATGGGGCAGGCACTCCTGCACATAGTGGGGGCAATTTGAAAGAGAAGCTGGGTCCTGCATCATCACGGGTGTCAGACTAGCAGACGGGAGACAATGCAGGCCCAGCCACGTGGCAGTGATAACGACCAATATCGCGCGAGCGCTGAGCTGCTTCGGCCGCACGATCACACCAAGCGATGTGAAGGTTTCCACGGATATTGTATTCCTGGATTAGGGACCTGAGGCTCAAAAAGATGACATCATCCCATGGAACACAGAGATTAGTCCTTCGTGGCAATCACCCAGCTTATAGGTTGGGGAGCCATGAAGAATAAGGCCAGATAAACTCCATGGATGCAGGCTGTGAAGGGCACGCAGACCCAATCCCAATTAAAGCAGCAGTGAGTTACCTACTGTGGAGAGTGGCCAGAACCCAACATTGACAACACCAAACACTGGTGAGGATGTGGACAAACAGGAACCCTCGCTTATTGCCGGTGGAAAGGCAAACTGGCGCAGCCGCTTTGGGAGACAGTTCGGTGGTCGCCCACAAAACTAAACACGCTCTTGCCACACTAACCAGCAATCATGTGCCCAGTAATTTACCCAAGGGAGTGGAGCACTTCTGTCCACACAAAAACATGCACATGGATGTCTACAGCAGCTTTATTCATAATTGCCAGAACTTGGAAGCAGCCAAGATGCCCCTCAGCAGGTGCGTGGATAAAGAAACCGTGGTCCGTGCAGGCCATGCAATATTACTCAGTGCTAACAAGACCGTAGTTACCAAGTTGCGAAAAGACCTAGAGGAACCTGAATGCATATCACCAGGTGAAGGAAGGCAGTGTGAAAAGGCCGCATCCTACACAATTCCAACTCTAGGACATTCTGGAAAAGGTCAAGCTATGGAGACAGTAAGAGGAGTGGTGGCCAGGCGTACGGGGGAAGGACGCACCCTCGGGATACACAACACCAAGAGTGACCCTCATGTAGACTACAGCGTCTGAGTGATGCGTCACCGTCAGTCCATCTGTGCGACAAATGTCCTACTCTGGTGGGTGATGTTGATAGAACGGAGGCTGTGCTCATGTCAGGGAAAGAGGGACATGGGCAAATCTCTGCACCTTCTTCTCAACCTAAAGCTGTTCTATAAAAAAGAAAGTCTTTATTAAAAGACAAAGACCACCACACCTAACAGAAGGGAAACTTAGGTTAGACAGTAGGTAGCCCCTGTCAGAGGAATCCCATGGTCCTACGCAGGATCCCTGGAGACAAGGGGCTGCCCCACAACACAGGGATTGGGCTAGAGAGAGCCTGAGGCTGGAGGAAGCGCAGGATCGAGGAGGGGTCTGTGGCGACCCTGGCTCGAGGTGAACAGACCTGGAAGGGGGTGGCAGCTGTGGGAGGAGAAAGCAGGTGGGGACGCGGAGAAGCCCATAGGAGGAAGACATGGTGGCCTCGATGACTGAGTGACACGGAGGTTAACAAGAGACGGGGTGAGGCCTCTGGGGGAAGTCACCGTGTCTGAGCTGAGTGTCAGGAGACCCTGGGGCGTCAGCAACCAAAAGGCAACAGTGGGGATGGGCGGTCAGTCTGGGTAAGACCCTAAGTTCAGCTCTGAACACATTCACTAAGTCTGAAACAAAAGCCAAGGTGACATGTCCCATGGGAACTTGAAGATCTTCGGCTGGAGTTCAAGAGAAAGGTTTGGGTCCCCTTCATGGGATGGTAAGGGATCACGAGAGCAGATCTCCCCAGCCAGAGAGGGGAGACAGCGCGGAGAGGAGAGGAGTCGACCGGCTGGACCCCATCGCACACCCACGCCCAGGGCCTGGGCAGAGGAAGAGGGGAGAAACAGAAGGAAAAGTAGGCGAGACACATGTCACTGGAGTAAGACTAGGAGAACAATGAAGGGAAACACAGGATGGAACCAGTTCACCGTGTACCAGACTATAAAAATATTAACCCCAAGTAATTCTTACAGTGTTCAATGTCTCAAAAGAAATTGACCATTGAAATGTGTTCTGGTTTATATCCTCTTTCATTGTACACCCAAGAATGGTAGGAATATGTCTTCTGTATTGTTCGATAGCCGACATTTTTTAGTGGTTGTTTAATAATAGCAGGAAGAACAATGCTCTAATGGTATTATTTTCGGCATTCTATTGTTGCTTTTGCTTCCTCTATCTCAAGAATTCAAAATACCAAATCTGCTTGAGAGGCATTTTAATGAAGTTAATCCTTTTTAAATTTCTGGAACAAATGTTATAACAAACATTGTCTCTACTTCTTCAAAACAAGTGGTATAACTTATTCAATTCTTGATGCCCTCTGGATTTCTAAAAGGATTTGTTCTAGAGAGGCACTTGTGGGTCCAATTAGTCTGCAAAATCTTTATCAGCTCTTAACTAAGTAACTGAACTTCTAAAGTTATGACCACCCTTACCAGTCCCAAGACATTTGCCAACAGTCTTGTTAATGAATAATGCAAGGTTTTGTGAATTCCCTCATGTCCTTGCCCAAGTGAGGGTAGGTTTTCTGGGTCAGTTCCTAAAGGCACTCCAGCCTAGAGCCAGTCATCCATGCGCCAACTTTCCAAACATCCCAGTGTCCCTACAGCCTCAGGAGCGGGGATGCCCCCAAACCCAGGGCCCTTCGTGGGAGCTGGGTGCTTCTCACCACTAATCTCCTAGACCTTGCTCCTCAATGTCTCTACCCCTCTGGGAGGAAAGTTCAGCTACCACGGTTAATAACAGAAGCCACGGCATCTTGGTTTCTCAAAGGAGGGAGCCTGAGCGTCATTTTTTAAATGCAAAGACCTGTAGCTCTATGAGAGGACAGGTAGATTTATCACACCTCTGAGTATAACGCACCATAACAACTCAAGAAAATAGTAACGCTGAGCTTATAGTTCCTCTCTCCCCCTCAGATTTGGAGGTGGGATGTCCTCCTGGAAGTTTCTCTGACTTCTGCAAAGCTGGTTAGGTGCTCCAAGGGCCCTTGATTTACCTTCACTGCAGCATCTACCAGCCTGAGTGGCTTGCCGGCTGCTCGGCATTTCTTGCCGAACTGCAAGCTTCCTGGAGGCAGAGTGGGTCCCGCTCACTGTCGCCTGGCCAGCGCCAGGCAGAGCGCAGGGCTTGCAGAAGGGCTCAGGGCGCATGTGTGGAACAAAGGAAGGAAGGGGCGGTCCCCCGGGAGAAGGGGCAGACCAGCCAGGGACTGAGGCATCCGGTGAAGGAGGAGTCCTCCAAACTCATCTGCCTAATAAAAGCGGACAAATTTTAAACCACACTCACTCTTGGTGTACGTGATGAACTTATACCACTGATAATTCTCTAGGGGCCACCCTTACGCACATGCAATGTACCCACATCATTTCTTCTGGTTGGTATCAGAGGTACTTCGTTCTGGACCGATTCCCTATTATATAAGGAACGTAATGATTTCGGTTATATCACTCCTGAAGTATTGGGCTGATGTTGCTGTCATTGGGCCCAAAGTAGAGCTCAAACCTCTTATTTAAATTACATTTGCAACGGAACAGAGTCCATACTCACATGGGAACTAAGTCTCACTTCACATGAGTCCTGGGTCATTGAGCCCCAGGACAGTGAGTAATGGTCTGAACACGCCAGGACCTGGGGGCAGGCATTACCACACTTACAGGCAAGTTCCCATTTCTGATCCCGAGAAACCCATCTGTTAAGGGGGGGTCACCCAGACCAGTGAGAGAGGCATCTGAGGCCGCGTGCAATGGGGACAATTCCCTCCAGTCTGACCGCGTAACTGAGAACACAGGGCACCCCCTACCAGAACACTCTAGGCACACTTCTGTCTCAGGCCTGTACCCTCATCCTCCTTTCTTGCCTCAGAAAGAAAAGTTGGGGAGGGGAATCAAGATAAACTGGGCATGGGGAAAAAGTCACTGGCTTAGAAAATCCATCTACTAGTAAATGAATAGTATGACCATGGCAGGTATGGTCAAATATAAAATCACATAGTCTTTCATATGGGGAAAAAAAGTGCAATTCTTGCCCAGCACAGGGGGGGATGTTGGGACAGGTACAAATGCAGGTGAAGTGTGATTCAGATTCTCTTTCAAAGGCACACGTAATCCAAGAATCCTTCGGGGTGGCTTCTGAGTCAGGATTTGATGGATTTGCAGCATCTTATCATCCAAAATGTATTTTTAAATGTATTTTGCTTGGATCAATATTGAAGTTATTTCAACTTTTTTGGTACCTAACAGGTAATTTTGGAAAGTGGTCAGCAAAAAAAAAAAAAAAAAAAAGTTCTTAATGGCATGAAAAGTGAAATGCTTTTTAAAAATTAGACAAATATTTTTAAATGGATTTTCTTGCACATCCATATCTCTCTAAGTCAGAAAAGATAAAGTGTAAAGATAATGTCGAGTTAGTAAGTGATTGTTCAGAAGGTGTCTGTCCACGTGCCGGATAGCTTAAAACTCTATGGGACACCTTGAGGTTTAGACCCAAGCCAGTGGACAGGAATGTGCTTGGGCCTCAGAGAATAACTAAAGGGAAGTAAAATAATCCCAAACAACAGCAATGAGTTTGATTTCCCAGGCAAGAACGGGGGCTCCCATAAGTGCGTGGCTTGTTCTTTAAAGTCCTGGTTATTTGAAAAGCTCGTCCTTTCAATTAGCTTTGCTTTGCTACAATTATCAACTAGAAAATCTAAGTCCAAACAGAGGTTCCTATTTCCAAATAGAGAACTTTCTCTCATTTGCTTGCCATCAAGTTTAGCAATCTCTCCTTGGAAGTACTACATCTTTTGGTCAGTATTTCTACACCCAAATAAAGTGTTCGGGAGACTTCTCAAAGTATTTTGTCATCATTACTGGAGAGCGTTTAAACAACTGAGTATGGTGCCTGGCTCGACTCCGGGCTGGGAGAAACCATCTGAAGTTAATTGCTGCTGTGATCACTAGCCCTTTCAACACCCAATGAAGGAGCTTTGAGTAAAGAGTCAACCCTGCCCTGGGATGAGCTGGGTGTGCATACTACCGGCTCATTCTGGCATGTAACAGTTAATACATTTTATAAGCAGTGGAGTCGGTGACTATCATTCCTCCAGAAGAGAAGTAAAAACAAACAAACAAACAAAACCTAAGAGCAAGATTAGGATCTGAAACAGTCAAACAATAAGTGGGAACTGTGGCAAGTAGCAAAATAATTTTTTAAACATTGGGGGGGTATGCAAAATGCCCTTAGAAGCCACACTTCCTGGGGGTTTGGTCTGCAAGGCTTTCACACTGGGGACCAGCTGAGGTCTTTAGTCTATCTGAGGGGAAGGAAAAAAAGAAAGAAAAACAGTACATCAAGGACCGTCTGGGGCTGGAAGCCTTTACTCCTGCAAACCCAGCTCCCAGATCCTTTCCGGGCAAGCACACAGCCCGAGGAAATGAAAACTGGGAAAACAATTGGTGCTTAGAACAATAAGATGGAGTTTCATTTTGGTTTCACACTCAAATATGATGTAGTTATAATTTTTTTTAATGTACATTAATAAAAGGCAATGAGTCGAGTTTGGTTAACTTTTTAAAACTGCACTACACAAGAGCCCCACTTCTGTTCTCGAGCGTGCTTCAGCCACAGAAAAGTCGTGGGAAAGCGAAGATACAGCTGTTTCCAGGCAAACGGCCCACAACTGTTCAGCATCAACCAGCAGTCGCCCAAGAACGGGAGAAACACGCCCAAAGCGACTCCCCGGCACGAGTGTGGGGCTCTGAGCAGCGTGGGGCGCGCGTGCCCACCCCGCCTGCCCCCGGCCCACCCGGGCGCCCAGGGCAGGTGAGGGCGCCGGGCCGCTGAAGCCCCCGCGGTGCGAGTTCAAATCCCGCAGACTCCCGGGCCCCCTCGCCCCTCACGGCGCGTATCAAGCTCGGCTCCGCTTGCCCAGGGCCCTGAGAAGTCCTCTACCTCGCCCCTACCCAGCCCACAACAAAGGAGGCTCCCTAGCGGATGCGCGAACGCAGCCCACAGGGGTCACTGGCGGGGACCCGCTCGGAGAGGGCACCTGGCCGTGCC